GTTATGTAACTCTTCAAGCCTTTTGGAATTCTATAACTTAAAGTTTTAATGTTTCATGAATGAGACTTTTCACATTTCATAACTTGAGGAAAAGTTATGAAACTCTTCATGAATCATTTAAATCAAATTTAACTAACACAATTAATTTATCATCTAACAATTTGACCTAATACTAATCATATAGCAATATAGCTTCAAATTTTACAAATAATTAGTTTTTCATAAAATCAAGTAATTATCTTAAAATTTGACAATCATCATGTTATTGGATGTGGATAATCATTACCATATCATTAAAATCGAATTTATGAACCAAAACAGTTTATGGTAATGATCCTAATCCAAAACATGCCAAAAACTCGAAAATTCTACTCACTGACGATCCAACTCGTCGAGTGCACTTATGAACTCGACAAGTTCATCTTCATAAGGCACCTACTCATCGAGTTCAATGATGGACTCGTCGAGTAGGCCCTGGAAGAATCCAGAATTGTAATTTTTTAGCTTTTAAAAATTACAAAATTGCATCAATATAATAGAAAACACCCATGGCTTTGATACCACTGATGGGTTTTATGTACTCTAACATTCCTATGGTGCACATAAAACCCAAATAATTTGGATCTAAGTTTTCTCTAATTATACATGAAATAAACATTTCCAATTCATGTTGCCAAAACTAGCATGCAAGGGATATTTGAATCATAAAAACTAGTTAGAATATTACCTTGTGTAGTAGCTTGTAGAACTTGGACTTAAGAAAGCTTAGCACCTTAAGTGTAATGCCTCAAATGGTTCACAAAACACCAAGAGCAATTGGATGAATATAAAAGAGGTTAAAGAGACTCAAAATCGGTTATGCTTTCTTCTTATGCATGCGGGTCACGATTTTGGACATTAGGGCACATATTTATAGTGTAGAATTCTAAGAGTCACATGTAATCCTAATTAACACAGTTAGGTTTATGATCCAATTGATTTGGACTACCACTTCATGGATTAACTCATAAGCTTAGCCCATCAACAAATCAATCATGGATCATTAGCCTAATCCATATGTATGACTGATTTACATAATCAGTTTCCGTTAATTTAATTAGTATCTTTTGATCACTAAATTAATTCCAAATTAATTCTTGATCAATACTAATTAAATAATATGATTTCTCAATTAATATATTATACTTATAATATAATCATAAACCACAAATAACCTCTTTCTTAAATATCCATCCTATCAAACTGCTTTGATGAATGCAACCCAAATGGATCATGCTACTATCAGGCCAAGTACATACCAATTATAGTTATGGACTTAGACACCTAATCCAACAAGTCTTCACACTGTATCCATGGGTCGAAGGCACCAATGTCAGCCCGTTGTTGTGCTATTTAGGATGATACCTATTATGTAGCTTGTATGTGTTTGTATGATGGGTTGAAATAGACCACAGGGCGGGGCCCATTATTGTATGTTTGTACTGAAATAGACCCCTAGGGTGGGGCCCGTTATCGTATGTTCGGGTTGAAAGATACCCCAGGGTAGGGCCCATATGTGTTGATCGGGTTGAAATACACCCCATGGCGAGGCCCAAAAGCGGGCCCATATATGTATATCGGGTTGGATTGTATTCTAAGGTTAAGCCCAATTATATTTTTTGGTATCTGGTACTTTGAGGAACTCACTAAGCTTTGTGCTTACAATTTATGTTTATGGTTTTAGGTACTCCTAATTCGAAAGAGAAGGGTCTGGCGTGATGGCACAACATCCTTCCCTCATTATTTTCATATTTTGTATAATTTTACTCTGATGCTTTGGATATTATATTTTTTGTTGGATTTTAAACAATTAATGAATGAATTGGTAGTCTTTCAATGAAAAATTTTATCATTTTTTTGGGTTGTTACACCTTTACTTCATTTAATCAATGTTATTGCTAACTTGTATAGTTCACATTCTTCAGCTCTACCCTTGAATTATCCGGTAATAGGTCTTTCACAACAAGCTCTACCTATATGGTAACGATATTTAATTATGAAGGTTTATTGGGTAGCTAACGTTGTTAGTCTGTTCTTGCAAGAGGGGTCTATATTAACTAAGATTTCCTCCGCTTAATGGATAACCATTTGCTACCAATGGAGAATTGCTTCTCATCTTGAATTGAGGTGAGTGGATTTAAACCAATAGAAACTACAAATTTCATACATAATAAAAGGGATATGCTCCATTTTCTTATTTTTAGGTGGGAAATGTAGTCCGTTTTCTGTTCTATCCTATTTGATCATTGATATTCGAACATGGCTCTCCTTCCTTTGTTCTAGTTCATGATATCTTTCATTTGTTCTAGTTCATGATCTGAACGAATCGTACATACACCCTAGTACATGTTCCTCGACATCGAGGGTATCCTCAAAGCATGGTGGATTTTGTGTACTTTCTAATTGGTTGTCTTGTGTTTCTAATAAGTTGTTTAGTCGTTGGCATGTTGAATCATGTACATAATGGACTGGCTTAGATCGATCCTAACCATATGATTATGAATTCCTTCTATTGAATAGAATAGTAAATAAAGGTTATAATATATTAATATGAACTCGACAGGGGTAATTTCAAATCACAAATTAATGGGAAATCCAGGTTATGCTATTGTCATTCAACCGCTACAAGATCAACGATTCCAGAAGCTTGGGCCTCTATTGCTGACATAAAAACATCTATTTCCATGTCTTCGGAGACAACCCATAGGGGTTTACCCTTTCTTTATACATAAAACCTTGTTAGGGTTTCATGTAGTTTCAATTTTTCTCCCACTTCTAGGATGAATTTTTCTCATTCCTACTTCAGCAATGTTGATATTTGTTTGGCGTCAAGGATATTCGGAATTATTTCGCTGAAGATACTTTTTTTTAGTGAAAGATAGTAATGAGGACAGTTATTCTATATATTTTGATATTAAAAATCATATTTTTGAGATTGCCAATGATCATCCGTTTTGTAGTGAACTGGAAAGTTTTTTTTTTTTTATCATAATTCTAGTTATCTGAATAATGGATCTAAGAGTAAGAATCCCGACCACGATTTTTTGATGGATGACACTCGGTATACTTGGAATAATCACATTAATAGTTGCATTGATAGTTATATTCAGTCCCAAATATGTATTGATAGTTACATTGTAAGTGGTAATGACAATTCCAGTAACAATTACATTTCTAGTTCCATTTGGAATAAAAAGTGGAAATAATAGTCAAAACAAGGATATCAGAAAGAGTGATCAAACTATACAAGAAATTTCTACTTATATGGGTGTAACTAAAAAATACTAACATTTGTGGGTTGAATGCGAAAATTGTTATGGATTAAATTATATGAAAATTTTTAAATAAAAGATGCATATCTGTGAACAATGTGGATATCATTTGAAAATGAGTAGTTCAGATAGAATCAAACTTTTGATAGATTCGAGTACTTGGGAGCGTATGGATAAAGACATGGTCTCTCTAGATCCCATTGAATTTCATTCGGAGGAGGGGCCTTATAAAAATCGTATCGATTCTTGTCAAAGATAGAGGGAAACTAAACGGTATTATCGTGCAATTGGGGTTATGGATTTTTAGTTTATGGGAGGTAGTATGGGATCCGTAGTCGGGGATAAAATAACTCGTTTGATTGAATACACTACTAAAGAATTTCTACCTCTTATTATAATGTGTGCTTCTGGAGGGGCATGCATGCAAGAAGGAAGTTTGAGCTTGACTGAAATAGCGAAAATATCTTCTGCTTTATATGATTATCAATCAAATAAAAAGTTATTCTATGTATCAATTCTTACATCTCCTACTACCGGTGGGGTGACATGTAACATTCAGTTTTAAGGTGCATGATTTCGAGGTTTCTTTAGCGTTTGGATGACGTCATGACATGAGCAATGCTTCCCACGTCGTGAGCCAAGGTTGACCTGTTGACCCGTATTCCTTGAATCTCACGACGTGAGCCTTTTTTGCTCACGATGTGAGAGAGGTCTGATGACCAAAACCCTAATTTTTCGGTATTTAATGGAATGAGAGGCCTAGGCCACGATGTGAAACCCGATATTAGGGTTTTGTCCGCTGGATTTTACTCGGTTGACTTATGACTTTGACCTGGTTTTTGACCAAGTTTAACTTAGGGGTATTTTGAGTATTTTGAGTTATAGCCTGAGTTTTGGGTCACTGTTATTTGTAAAGGTGACCGGTAGAGTTGGTTTCAGAGCAGCGTGTTGTTTCAGCTTATTATCCGTCTGTGAGGTGAGCTTTCTCATTGTATCCATGGGTCGAAGACACCAACGTTGGCCCGTTACTGTGTTATGTAGGATGACAGTTATTATGTGGCTTATATGTGTTTGCATGTTCAGGTTGAAATAAATCCCAGGGTGGGGCCCACTATCGTATGTTCGGGTTGAAATAGACCCTAGGGTGGGGCCCACTATTGTATGATTGGGTTGAAAGATACCCCACCCATATGTGTTGATCGGGGTGAAATACACCCAGGGCGAGGCCCATATGTGCGTATCGAGTTGGAACATACCCCATGGTTAAGCCCACTTATATGATTAATATGTGGTACTTTGGAGAACTAACTAAGTTTTGTGCTTACAGTTTATGTTTATGATTTCACTACTTCCGGTTCGAAACAGAGAGGCCCGACGTGATGACACAACATCCTCCCATCATGATTTTTGCATTTTCAGTAACTGTACTATGATATTTTGGATATTATATTTGGTGATGGTTCTTGGAACAATTAATGAATAAAATTGATAGTCTTTCAAGGAAAATTTTTATTACAAGTTTTGGAGTGTTGCATGTGTTGCTGATTTGCTTGTTGGATGCAATCACATAAGAGGCATCATTGTGTGCGTTCTATTCCATCCAAGAAATCAAAAACTTAACAAAATTTTCATTATTGATTAGAAAGATTCATAATTTTAATTTTAAAAAGATATATTTTCCATCCATAGGGGACGTCTTTGTCGAGAATTGTTTGGGAGTCTCAAAACCTATTATACAATAGTAGTGGTGGATAACTTTCAATTTAACATTGATGAATTTTTTACAATCCTATAAAAATCAAATAAATAATTCGATAGTCTAAACTTGTTTAAATTTTACCATAATTAGACGAATCGAATTAATTCCATTCGATTTCCCTACATTCAGTTTTAAATTTTTTTTACCCAATTCGAATTTTATTTAGAAAAACCGGTTACCTGCTCTATCCCAATTTCATATAGAACTTTACTTATAATTTCCCACCACTCTCACTTTCATAATCTCCTGGATATATCAATATTTAATTCATCTAGATATACCTAGTCTCTACGTATTGCTGACGAATACTTACACAATCAGTTACCAGTTATCATCCTGTTTTGAGATCTGTAACGCAAATTCAGTGTTCATACGTAGGGTTTCTTGTTTTTCCCTGATTCGAAGAGCTATGAAGGTTCATCCGGCGCCAAATAGGCGAAACATCACTGTCCGGTACGATTTTGGTTCGCAGTCTGGTGACACCGCTGCTATCTGCCGTCAAAAGAAGCTCCGGCGACTCCCTCACATCTTTGCTAAAGTACTCGAGCTTCCTTTTTACTCCGACGCCGAGGTTTCGATCCAGGAAACGTCAGATTCCTTGAAGTTTGTTGTCGATACGGACGACGATATCGCCACCGACGTCGCGGCTCATACTATCGAGATCTATCCTGGCGTGACGAAAGTTGTTGTAAGAGGGACACGTGGTGTCGATGATTCTGGTGGTGGTGTTAATCAGCTGGAGGTTGATTTGTGGCGGTTTAGACTTCCAGAGTCTACGCAGCCGGAGCATGCTACGGCAGCTTTTAGCGATGGAGAGCTTGTGGTTACTGTACCCAAAGATGTTAATTTGGTGAGGAATCAGGAAGTTTGGGGTGAAGGTAACGGAACTGGACGGTTTGTTATGGTACAGTAATATCAATATGAATACATTTTGCTGTTTAAATTTGCCATTTTTGTTAAGTTTGATCGAATGTTGTTTTAGGTTGATGTCTTGATGATCATCGTCCTCAATGAATATGTATGTTGATGTTGATGATGATTCCTGCTTTCGAGCCTTCAATTCCATTTGAATTATGTGACCTAACTATGAGCTTCTATAATGTTAAAGATTTATTGAGTTACAAATGCTTCTAATCATCATTGATCGAATCATAATCCATTGTCAATGTATCTAACAACGAGCTTTATCATGCTAACTGTCTTAATGAAGTCACTAGAAGTATTTATCCTTAAAGAAACTACCATTTTGGTGAGGATTTGAAACCTGTTGACTACAGAGCAAGTATTTATGAATTATGATTATTCTATCAACACAAATCCAGTAAGACCACTCAAATTAGTGTTTCTTTCCCTTTGGGGATCCTGTCATCATAAAGTAGCTAGAGTATATATTCCTTCAATATCTATCTCATGCTCACCTTAGAGATTCTGATTCTCTGTATAAAGTTGGCCTCAATAATTTCATCACAAAATATGTTGTTTCTACTTTATGTCATAAACATAATTGTATAGATTATGAAACTTAATGTTTATATCGTACATTTGATAAAATAGATATGGTGTCTAAAAGGGTATATGTTTCTTGTTGGAACTTTTGTGATCATTGAATGTAGGACAGTTTTTCAGCCCTCATTCATCACTTTCCAAGATGCCCCTAATCAATTAACTTCCCGGCTTTTATGCTCTTGGCAAGTTTGCACATGAAGATATGTATATGGGTTCCTTTTCATTGGTTTCTTTCTACTCTTACTTTCGTAAAAGCTTCAACCTTTTAACTACTTTTAGAACCAAAAATGGGATTCCTTATGAATTCTATGAAAATCATATATGCAGGAATTCACTCATTAACATGAATTCGTTTTTTTTTTTTTTTTTTTTTTTTTTTTTTTTTTTTTTTTTTGTCTTCATTTGCTTGCATTGTTATTTGGAAGTATCTAGCTTTGTAAGGTCATATTATTGTTGTGGCAGTTTGGATGTGGGGTAAATTTGCAAAAAATGGTAACCAAGCTTGTTAATGAGTAAATTACAATTTTGGTCCTTGGGCTTTACACAAAATCACAAGTTTAGTGCATGTGCTTTAACTCAAAATCCCAAGCTCTATCCAAATATTGAAGTCGTTTTATATGGGTCAGAGATTGTATACGCAACAAAATATAAAGTTAAGGATGACTTCAAAATTTGGACTGAACTTGCAATTTTAGGTAAAGCATAGGGATCATTCGTGTAATTTTGGGTAATATGACACAAGTTGGTTGTTATGATGCAAAAAATGACAACCATCTTGGCTGATGTTGCCCTGAATTATTTTATTTTTAAATTTAAAGTGTGGGACCGAAGGATGCTCTTTGGTCAATGCTTCCTTTTGTTTGTTTAGTGGATGAATGTTATCAACTTTTCGCATGATTTGGTTGAATCATATATTTTTTTGTTATTATTAAATTATATGACTTTTTTCTTTTCTTTTTATCTTCCTATTTATTGAAAGTTGAGCTTTTTACAAGAGCAGTTACTCTAACTTTATATGTCCATAGTCACGGGTTTGTTATGTGAATGTTTAGTACATTTGCAAGATGATGCATTGAGCAGTTTGTTGGTTTGAAATTATTGTTGTTTTTGGTAATGTGGTCCATGGTACTTTTTTTTCGTCTAGTTCTCATCATGTATAAAGTTGAGCACAATGAAAATGATGGTTATATATTTTTTAATTTATGTAATTGTGTATGATATTTCATTCTTTTGTTTTCTTTTAGAAAAATCAAATATCCTCCTACCTTTTTAATCCTACCAATCTTCCTACTCATTAGATTAAGGCAAATGTCAAAATAAATAGATTCAATTAAGAGAGAGAATTAGTGGATTCCAAATGTTATTATTTGATATGAGAAGGAAGATAAGTGAAATAAAAAGTAGGGGGATTTTTAATTTCTCGGTTAATTTTTCCATCCGAAAATTGTCATTGATTTGTAATTGTATGTTTTTGGAGTATACTTTTGAAGGAAATGTTGTTTTATTACTTTCACAAATCCTACGGACGTTGTGAAGAAATGATCCGGCAAAAGTTTTATGGAATGATATACAAAGTAGTTTTATAATTTTAAAGTGGTATTATGGTCAATCGATGTTTTTTTAATAATGAAATTATTTTAAATAATAAAAATTGATTAAAAATAAATAAAAGAAAGATTTGAGCAATATAATATTATAAAATTTTATTTACAGTATATAGAAAATATTTCAAATTATCCCTAAATGTTATACATAAAGTTATAAATTTCCCTGTGTTCCTGTGATTGGACTGTATCATTTAAGCTCTTAAATGAGAATGGTCAAAATAATGGAGCGGATCTTTAGGCTTTACAACGAACTGGCTTATCTGGGCTTTTGTTATACATGGATAATTATGTTTTTAGGGCTGGGTTATTTGGGGATTTTTTTTTTTTTTTTTTTCTAGGGATGTATTATATATATACGAGCTTACAATCCATGGAATCCACATGTGACAAAGTAACAAAATATTGAAATTTCAAAAGTATAATTATTAATTATATAGATTTTGAAACAAAGATTTATTTGTAAAGTTATATGTTTTGTTAGTAACAGGTATGAGTATTCGTTTGGATGGATCAGTTTGATCCGATGTAATCAAGTGAGTCCAAATGAATTTTGGGTTTTAAAACATGGATCCGACCAGTCTAAACTAAACTCAAATCTGATTTGAACCAACCAAATTACAATTCGGTTGGATCGATTTTTACAATTCGGTTTTCAAGAGATGGAGCATTTAAGCTTAGTAACAGGTATATATATATATATGTGTGTGTGTGGAAAAGGGAATATATACATTACAGCCCCACCTAAGCTTAGGTACTAAACCTCTTGAAAATACATTGTTTTACTATATAAAGATTACGGTTAATGGATTCACGATTAATACTTCAAGATGTAAATTCAAGATCGACACAATAGCGTTTAGGGTTTAAGGTTTAGGGTTTAGATTTAGGGTTTAGGGTTTAGGGTTTAGGTTTAGGTTTAGGGTTTATGTTTAGGTTTAGGGTTTAGGGTTTCGGGTTTAGATTTAGGGTTTAGTGTTTAGGTTTAGGGTTTTGTAATGTTCACTTGGGTGAAGTAATAAACGATAATTGAGGAAAGAAAACAGGGATGGTAAAACGATAATGAAAGAAAGAAATGTTATGGAGGATGATATATTTACCAAGTGAAAATAAACCGGGTATATCTAGAATGTTAAAACGACATATTTTAGAAGTTTAGTATCAAAGCTTAGGTGGGGCTGCAATGTATATTCCCTATCCCCATATATATATATATATATATATATATATATATATATATATATATATATATATATATATATATATATATATATATATATATATATATAATATGAAAAATTGTTGTTCGGTTTTTATGGACTATTCGGTTTTTCTTTTATAAACCAAGACCAACCGATATCCAAAATAATAATTGAGTTTTGCTAAAAACCAATCCAAAAATCTGATTATCCAAACCAAATAGTCTAATTCGAATTGTCCAATTGGATAATTCGGTTTTATCGGAATAATGAACAACCCTAGTAACAGAAAAGTGAATAGTTTCTTTTCGGCAAATGAATTCTTTTATCGATTAGTTTTTTTCAGCATACATCAAATAGTTTGCTTTCGTTGATTACTTTTTTTGAAACATTTTATATTCCAAAGAACATCAAAACATAATATATATGATATTTCTGATTCAAAATTTCAAGTTAGTTAATCCCTTGTGCAATCTACATGTACAAAAAGAATCAAAATTCCAAAACAATTAATAAAAAATGGTAAACGGGATTTACTTGAAATTATAATTCATCGAGTTTGCCACTCTTCTTGAAGGAAAACAAAGAACAAAATTAAGAAAACCACAGTCTGAGTATTATATCTCACATTATATGACAATTCTATTGAGAATTAACAATTTCGATGACCTGTAAGCCAATATATGGGACCATAGATTGCATGGAATTCATATGCATGTTGTTGTAAATCATATGAGTGAGAAGAATAAAATCCCTACAAAAAATTAAACATAATAAAATCATTAAAATGAAATAAGATTATAATAATAAAATTATAGCTATATTCTATAAAATAAAATCACAACATTAGTGGACATTGCTAAATTAAGTAGATTTTTTTACAAAGTATAATGTTGTAACAGTGAAAATTTAAATAAAATGCTATTATAAAAAATAAGTTAAAAGTAGATTGTTGTTTTTTTAATTGAACTTAGAGGTGTCTTGATAAATGGTGTTTAAAATAGATTAAAGAAGATGTACTCACACTTTGAGATATGAAAAAAAAGGCTAAATATAAAATATAAAATAATTAGTCAAAAGTGGTTTAACACTCTGATGTTGCAATGAGATACCAATTATGATAAATTATGAACTAAAAATGTTAGGAATGTTGAAGTTAAAAAGGTAGAAATGATTTCCGTTTGTAAACTGTGATTGGTGACATAAATGAAAATACTAACTCAATTTAGACTTGCAATTTATGGAATAAAAATGAAAACTGTGAAGTAAAATGGGGGTTGAAATGTGAAATACTAATGAAACTGTAACTTGTTGCTTTCTCTGAAGCTAGATATCGGAATGAAATTTATACATAATGCATTTGGTGGTGAGAAATGAGTTAATCCCAAATTTCTCAATTTTTGTGCCTTCTCGTCACGTTTCTCAATGGAATTCTCCTTTCCAACAAACTATTACCGCTGTGGAAAAATATGATAGAAATTAAAACTCCTAGAATCGATCGTAACACTTTTTGAGAAACAAATCCTAAACAGTATTGATAATCAAAATACAAAACTCAATGAAGCTATCTAAGTACCACTCTTCCTTGTGTCATATTCCCCATACAACCTATGCTTGGATAGTACAATATTAATTTGATCCATAACCAGATCATGTAGCATAATGTTGATTCGATCCCAAAATGTTAAGAATATAATCTTGTGATGGTATCTTATGGAAAACATACCAGTATCCAAAATCATAAAAAGAAAATGGACCGGGACCTAGATATTGTTTCTATTCATATAGATAATTGTTTGGAAGTTGCAGAATAAGATACAAAAGGCTTTGCTATTGTTCTTGAACTCAAAAAATTCTAGTTGGATCCCAAATTGAACAAAAAAAATCTCTCCCCTCTCTAATGAACATCAAACACACACATTAGAGACACACACACCCAAAATACATTTTTTAAAGTTATTTCATGATGTCAAAACAAAATAAGTGAAGAACTGGAATACAAATAAAAGAAATACAATGCTCACTTCACTTATTCGAAATTACTAAATGAGTGTAAGAGTGTTTGATAAGAAAAAAATGTTTACAATGACATTTTATCAAACACATATAGCGCAACATCAAATTCAAGTTTCCTATCACCACATCATGTAAAAATAGTTTATGAATATCATTATTTATGCTAGCTTAAGAAGGCAGAAT